GTAGGGTTATACGAGTATTACATTGTTCCAAAAGTTTTGTCCATTTGTATGAGTCTACTTTAAACTGCAATATACCAGTAAATACTTATTCAATTCATTCGAAATAAGCGTCATTTGAATCAGTGCACTTTTACCAACGTAACACAAGTCTATTACTTCCGACAGCATGAAAATTGTATGGTCGGGATTCGATGAAGTCGACGAAGGCCGTTTTTGCCTGGTCCTGATTGGCGAAGGTTCTACCGGTGAGAAAGTTATCAGAGTGCTTGAAGAGATGCAATTTGGTGGGTTTTCGCCTTTGGGATGTGTCTGGGGGCTCATCCGTTTCCAACCACTGTCCTGAACGTCTCTTGTTGTCATAGAGGATCCACTTTTCGTAAAACATGACGATCCGATCAAAAAAAGGATCATTTTGGCTGCACAACAGCACAGAAGAACAAAGTTCGATACGTGTCAATTTCTATTGGGCTTTTTGACGTTTCCAATACGTTTCAAACCAAAAACCAATTTGGGTTTCAGGCGGAAAAAGAAACAAATGATGCTATCTTCTCTTTTTTAAATGAAATTCACTCTGAATTGAATGCTGGTGCAGTAGCAGCCACAATTTTTTGCGATATTTCAAAGGCGTTTGATTGTGTCAATCATAAAATTTTACTAAAAAAACTTCATAAATATGGATGTAGAGGTGTAACGAACACTTGGTTCGAATCGTACCTTTCAGGTCGGAGTCAAATAGTGAGGACAGTGGAACTCTCGGAGAACAGGGCAATTGAATCTGGTTTACCACAGGGTTCTGTGTTGGCCCTATTCTATTTCTGCTATATATGAGTGACATCTCTATGATTGACATATCTGACATATTGTGGAATGAAAAAAACTCAGTGGAGCTAAATAAAATAATATCATCCGACTTGAAGAAGGACAACAGAACTCTCGGAGAAAAAAGCCATTGAATCTGGTTTACCACAGGGTTCTGTGTTGGCCCTATTCTATTTCTGCTATATATGAATGACATCTCTATGATTGACATATCTGACATATTTGGAATGAAAAAAACTCAGTGGAGCTAAATAAAATAATATCATCGGACTTGAAGAAGGTGAAGAGCTGGTACGATGCAAAGTCATTCAAATGTTTGTTGATGAAATTACAATAGACGCTGCTATATTACAAAATAAATTAAACACATAATTTCTGGGTGTATTCATTGATGATAGGCTGAAATTTGATGAACACCTTAAACAACTCAGGAGTAAGATCTCCGGATGTTATGCAGTTAGAGTGGTTTCAAATGAGTTGGGTTTCCATATCGCAAAGACTGTTTACCATGCACTTATTGAATCTCGACTACATTATGGAATACCTTCTTGGGGAGCAGGCAACTCATCCCTTCTCTCTTCTGCATTGATATTACAGAAGAGAGCACTAAGATGTCTCTGTAAAGTAAAACCCAGAGAATCGTGCAGGAACTTGTTCACTGCCAATAAAATTGTAACAGTCATCGCACTTTTTATCTTAGAGGCGGTTTGCCTTATTTATAAACATAAATCGAAGTTCAACTTTGCCTCTACTCCTTATGCTACTCATAATAGCAATTATACCTTTAGACTTCCCATCCCAACTTCGAATTTAATCAAGGATTCTATATACTACAATGGTGGTAAGTTGTTCAATCATTTACCATTAGAAATGAGATCTGCAAATCTAAAGCAACATTCATTTCAAAAAGGTGGTGAATAACCTACTTGTTGATAGACCCTGTTATAGTTTGGTATTTTAGCGAATCCTTTTAACAATAAATTAACAATTTGTTTCTTTGTCTATCACTTTATACATGGTGGTGTTTTATCTATACATTTTTAGAACTTTTTTTTTTATATTTACATTTATACATTTTTGGAACTTTTTTTTATCTTTACATTTATACTTTTTTAGAACTTCTTCTATATCTACATTGTAAATGTTCGGACAATAAATTTAGAGATTTAACAACATCCCATTGTTTTCAGAACAAACATATAGAGAATTGATATCATCCTGTATCTTATGACAATCTTCAATACGTTCGATAGGCAAATATAGCTTCAGGTCATCAGAAGACAGCAAGAATTAACAGTAATGAACTGAATTGTCAACATCATTTATAAATAGGGTAAACAGCAGGGGTCACAAATGAAAGCCCTGTGGTATCTAGTATAAACTGAATCTGAAATATGAGGAAGCAGATTTGACATTTCAATATTTAAGCATAGAACATCGTACTGGTTTATTACTACAAATAGACAACTTACTAATTCAGATTTTTTTTTCAATTGTGGAAAGTACTTTTGAAGTGACAGAAAAAAAGGGCACTTCTNGATTAATTTTTGCCTTTTTTCAAGTTTTTCCTTTTTTATATTTTTCCCTTACATCTAGCTGATGGTTATAGATTATTGTTACAGTTCATATGTGTTGATTATTTTATAAAAATGAGGCAATGCCATAAATAAATAATATAGTCGCTAATCTAATATATAATCTGCGAAAATGGTGAATTTATCACTACGTTTGCACAGATCAAGTCGCTGATAAATATCAGGAAAAGAATGCTATCCAAAACTGAACCTTGGGACACACCTCAATTCACTGAATTTCATTTTTATTTCAATAAAACCTGCCGACATTCAGAAAGATATAATCTGAACCAAAGCAATCCTAACCAATAATCATGTGCCCTGAACAAGCACTATGAGCCAAGTGTCACCACCCTCTACATTTGTCCGGCCTAGATTTTCGCATTAGTGTGGCAAACCGGCATGATTTCGAGATTTGAGAGTGGAAATGGCATCATTCCACTAAGGACTCCAATAATCTCGAACAACTGTCTTGACAGAATGGTCTGGATAGAGTCTGCGGAGTTCGAAGAGAAAATCTCTATATTTTATCCGTTTTTCCTTCTCTTTACGAACGATGTTTGTTTCGCCAGGGATTGAAAATTCCACGGCAAATATCGTCTTGCAATAATTATTATTGTTATTGTTATCTTACCTATGATAATTCCACTGCATGTTCATTGGATCAGTTAGAAAATGAAGTTATCTTATTGCTTACAGATCCACGAAAAAACGATCACGAATGATGCAAAACCAAAAACAGAGCGTGAGAAAAAAATTGGTCATCGACGAGTGGGTGTGGGAGGTGAAATCACTTACAAGAAAATCCAATCCACCCAAATCATGGGATCAATTCAGTTGGGTAAGTAAATGCAATATAACTTTGTGAATACAATTATTTTTGAGATGACTTATTAAATATTACTAGTGACATTGTTTACAATGCATATATATTGGCGAATCTTAGGTATCTGTTGATCATATAGGATAATTGCGGCATTACTAATTTAAAAAAAACAAATGCTACAAAATAAATCAATGAAAATTTCATTTCAAATTCCATTTGGAACCCACACAAATGATCTATTCTCACAGAAATGATCTGCTCTCACAGACTGAACTACACCCAAGTAAATATCTACTTAAACTTGAGCAATGCATGAACATATATAAAATAAAAAACAAAAGACCCAAAAGGAACAACGATCCACTAGTCTACAACCAGTTTCATCAGTATTATACAAGGGGTAGAAATGACTTACACCTGAGCATGGTAAGAACGAACAAAGGATTATACAATCCTTTTGCACAGGCTGTAAAAGTCTTCAATGAATTACCTGTCCATTTACGTGAGTTGCCGGGCTATAGTTCATTCATAAATAGTTTAAAATAACATTTGAGCCCCGAGGCACATGTCTGATACGTTACTACTATGAGCTTTGTTGTGGTATTCTAATTTTCGTGTTTCACTTGTCATGTTGAATGTTTGTGAATCCCCAGACCAGCATTTTTTCTGATTAGGGAGAATAACAACATATAAATTATATTTGTTGTTGAACTGTACTCTGTTGTTATATTTTTAATAAAAAAAAAGATACATGGCCATGATAAAATTNCAGAAAATGAGATTTGTTTGGCTTTTTTCCTAATTTGGTTTTAATTTTTCTAATATTGATAATTCAAGTTTTGTTTGATACCACAAGGACTAAACCACTGAACTCCACCCAATTAAATATCTACTTAAACTTGAGCCATGCAAGAACATATATAAAATAAAAAACAAAAGACCCAAAAGCAACAACGATCTACTAGTCTACCACCAGTTTTATCAGTATTATACAGGGGGTAGAAATGACTTACACCTGAGCATGGTAAGAACGAACAAAGGATTATACAATCTTTCTGCACAGGCTGTAAAAGTCTTCAATGAATTACCTGTCCATGTACGTGAGTTGCCGGGCTATAGTTCATTTGTAAATAGTTTAAAATAACATTTGAGCCCCGGGGCACATGTTTGATACGTTACTACTATGAGCTTTGTAGTGGTATTCTAGTGTTCGTGTTTCACTTGTCATGTTGAATGTTTGTGAATCCCCAGACCAGCATTTTTGCTGATTAGGAAGAATAACAACATATTTTATATTTGTTGTTGAACTGTTATATTTTTAATAAAAAAAAAGATGCATGGCCATGATAAAATTCAGCACACCAATTGCAAACCTTTTTTCTGATGTAGCAGACGAATTTCATCAATATTTGTGATGCCACATTTCAGTATTGCCAACTTATATCTAATGGTCGTTTGTAAAAACATAGAAGAAAACCCTTCAATTCTCTTTATTCTAATCTGTGTGCCAAAGAAATATAAGGTGGGTCCAATGTAAATTCCAGCATAACCCTACATATATAATAGAGTCTGACTGCTTTCATTTGTGAGGAGAGTGACTTTTCAATTGAACTGTTGAATACGGATATATATTCTATTTCAGGTATACAGCACGCAGTTGGAGGCTTGGCGTCGAAACCCGAAAGAGATCTTCTCATGCAAGATTTCATGACGGTAGAAACAACAAATTTTCCAAGTGAAGGTTCCAATCACACACCAGCCCATCATTTTTCCGAATTTAAGTTTAAGAATTACGCACCGATTGCTTTTAGATATTTTAGAGATCTGTTTGGTATTCAGCCTGATGATTTTTTGGTAAGCATCTGAATTTTCTTCACACTGAAATAAAAAAATTATACAACAGGTTTTTTTATTCTCATTTTAGTGGACCCATCATCTGTGATGTTGAATATTTCATTGACAATGTTTTTACTAGTTTTTAATATTTGATAGTCTAATCTGTGAAACATAAATGAATTAGCTGCGATTCTCAGAATCATAGAAGGGTGGAGGAAATCCAAGAAGTAGGATTGAAAAAAAATTGATATATCAGTCGTAGTTGAACTTATGC